ACGGCTCACATGACCGAGCCACCTCAGGTGTCTCAGCAAAAGTATGCAGTCCACTGCATACATCCCACTTTGTCGCAACACTTTCGTGTCTGCAACTCTGTCGCCCCAACCGATGCGCAAAATCCGTCGCAAGCACTGCTGATGGAACCGCTCGAGATACCGCACATCCCGACGGTACATCGTCCACGTTTCACTGCCGTATAGAAGAACGGACAGCACCATGGATTTGTACACCATCAGCTTCGTGCCAATGGTAAGCTGATGGTTGTTCCACACTCGGTACTCTAGCTTCCCGAATGCCGCCGCTGCCTTCGACACGCGAATACGCAGTTCACTGTGTAGCTGCTGATCAGTCGACATCACACTCCCAAGGTAGCAGAAGCAGGAGGTGGTTTCCAATACTTCAGCACCAATGCTGATTCGCGGCAATATTGAAGATTGCACCTCCGGTGAAGGCTGAAAGAGACAGACAGTTTTGCTTGTGTTGATGGTGAGCCCGAATTTGGCCGCTGTCGAAGCCAGAGCACTAGTCATGTGCTGCAACTCATCCGCGCTGTGTGCAAACAACGCACAGTCGTCAGCGAACAGCAACATACGGATAGTTGTCTCACAGACTAGAGTTCTCGCACCGAAACGACGGATGTTCAGCAACCCACCATCAATACGGTGCTCCACACGAACACCGTAAGCACAAGCAGCATCAAAATCACAAGACATCATGGCATGAAGATAGATGTTAAACAGGGCAAGAGCTAAGACACAGCCTTGCTTCACACCAGAGACAACTGCAAAGTCATCCGAGATCTCTCCACTCAGCTGCACTCTCGCCCGCATACCACTGTGCAGACATTCAATTAAACTTGCAAACTTAATCGGATTATCAAACGTTCCCAATACCAACCAAAATGCCTCGCGGTTCACCGTATTAAATCCTTTGGTGAAATCAACAAACAGTGAGTACAACGGCTGGTGTCGTTCTCCGCACTTCTCCTGCAACTGACGAGCCGCAAACACCATGTTTATGGTGCTGCGACCCGAACGGAATCCACATTGCTCTTCCGCCACGTTCGGTTCCACATTCTGACTGATGAGGCGATTGCGCAGGATTCGGGCAATCACCTTGCCCACACAACTCAGCTAGTTGATGCCACGATAATTCGTGCAATATTATTTGCTCCCTTTGTCCTTGTACAATGGTAGCACAAGGGCATTCTTCATCTCTGGAGGCACCTTCTCCTCAATCCATAGGCGTTGCGCCAAGTGGTGCAGCGCAGTCACCGACACAGGTCTGCCGTGTCTTAGTATTTCAGGCGGGATCGAGTCGGCCACGGCACACTTGCCGTTTCGCAGCTGAGCAAGTGCTGTCTGCGTCTCATCCAGTGTCGGCGTGTCTGTCAGACTCGCCTTCACATCGTGCTGCTTCAGGCAGTTCAATGAAGGCCAGTCGATCTCTGAACGGTTGTTCAAGAGACAGTCAAAGTGTTTCCGCCAGATCTGCATTATGTCTGCAGTCTGTGTGCAGGTAGCGCCTGAGCTACCATCGATCAGCGCCCTCAGCGGCTCCAACCTCGGTCCATACACCGCCTACAAGGAGTCAAAAAATTCACTGTGTTGGCGGCGTCCGGCGTAGCATTCCATCTGCCTCGCCTTCTCCGTCCACCATGCATTTTTAATGCGACGGAGCTCTCGGGTCAGTCGCCATCGAATTCTGCCAAACTTTCTCTTGTTCTCCATGTCACTGGGGTCTGCAACATGTGTAGCAAATGCTGCATTTTTCTCCGACACCAATGCGCCAATCGCCGCATTGTTCTCATCAAACCAATCAGGCCGCTTACAGTTTGCGCGCCCGATGGTCTCCTCGACAGCGGCGGTCACCTGGTCCCGAATGTGTTGCCACAGGTCACCACCTGCGGCTATGCAGTCCACATCACAGGCGTGCAGCCATCGCCTTCTCCAGCTCAATACGTTTCGCCACAGTACCGAGGGAGAGAATGTTAAATTTGCGCCGTTTCATCGCAGGAGTGCAGTACATAGATTTGCGACAATATATGTACAGTTGGGTCCGCACCACTTTGTGATCAGTGCCACACTCAGCTCCACGCAGTACACGTGTCATGCGCACTTCACGCATATCACGCTGACGTACGATGACATAGTCGAGCAGGGGAGCGTGACCACTCTGTGGGTGCGTCCAAGTTGCTATATCACTCGCACCAGTGCAAACCGAGTGTTAGTGATCGTCAGGCCGTGAGTGGCACACAGTGAGAGCAGTCTGTCACCGTTCGCATTCGCTGAACCAATGCCATGCGAACCGATAACATCTGTCCACACCGATGCATCAGGCCCAACGCGCGCGTTGAAATCACCCAGCAGAAATAGTCGGTCGCTCCTCGGCACAGACCGTATCACGGAGGATAGCCGAGTGTAGAATTGATCACGCGTGTCATCAGGATAACACATGGTCGGACCGCACGTGCTTATAAAGTGGCAAACTTACCTCTTCCGATTCATAGGCGAACAGTCATCAGTCGAGCGCTGACGCCTGTTGGTTCACCCACCAGCGGGCCAGGGAAGCGATCGGATATTGAAAATCCGACCCCATGTTCACGTGGTGCTGAGGTGGCGTTGTCCACCCAGTAGAAAGTGTAGCCAGCACCTGCTTCATGCAACTTACCTTGCTCAGCGAGCCGAGTTTCACTGAGCGCCGCAATATCGATGTGGTAGCGCGCCAGTGCATCGCGACCAGTACAGTGCGTCGCTCCGGGCGCTCGCTGGAGTTCCGGTCCAGTAGTGTGCGCACGTTCCAGCACCCGATGCTGAGTGCTTTGCGCTCAAGCATACGATTGCATTGGTGGACAATCGCACGCGAGGTGGTCGTTGTGCTTCGGATATTTGCTTGAGGGACTCCACCCAGAGCCTTTGGCTCAATAGCCTGACCCACAGTGCAGTGGGTGATTTAGGGGTTTGCTTGAGGGACTCCACCCGGAACCTTTGGCTCAATAGCCTAACCCACAAGGCAGTGAGTAGCAGATCCAGCTCGGGAATGTGATTGCAGAGACAGATTGGGATCTGCTTGACGGCCGTCACACGCAGCCTTTGAGGTACTGGAACGGTTTATATATGTTTTGCGACCGTACTAGCATACACCTGCGACCACGGTCATACGCAGGGGGGTTTTGGCGGGTTTGCACCTATTTGACCAGGGGCTGCATGGTTTGAGAGGAATGAAGGCCCTCACTTCGGAGCTGGCCTCGATTGGACCGTCACGGCTCCTTGGTTGGGGTCCGAAAGACGATGAACACTTTTGGCTGGATACACTTTTTGACATGGCAAGGAGCCGACCTCAGTGGCGTTCGTGCTGTGAGTTTCTTTGTCCCACCCCATCCCTCTCAGCCTACCCTTCCAACCACGATCTCACTATTTCGCCTTTTATAATTTGCATAGTAAATTATTTTTCTGCTGCATAGTAGCCGACAGGTTGCTTACCGGAACGATGCCCATCCGTTACCAGTAGCTCAGCTGGCTTGTACCTGTTGCATTTTATTCCTTTTTTCCTTTAGGTATTGCGACACAGTATCTGAAATATTTCCCACCTCTAGCTAACGTGTATTATGAATGATGAATATAGAGTTCATGTAAATCCTCCACAAAGTCTGGTCCCTCGAATTTTAAGGGGGCTGGATGAAGACCATCTGGTCTCTTGCTGACCGATTCCCGTGTCAGACCGAATTACCTTCGATAGTCTCCAAATGCAACGGCTGTTTCTACCATGAGATCACCAGCTTTCCTAATCTTTTTTCAGGCTAACACGTAATTTTGTCCCCAGATCTTTGCGAGTTTCGTTGTGTTCGCTTTCTGTCGGAATATGTCGGCTAGCATCCAAGAGTTCCAGAAACTATGCAGAGGCCCAGTGCCCATGCCGGCGATCGGATTTGCCACATGAAGACACCTGTTGCTAATAAGGCCTGTGGAAAATGCGACCACTGACCTTCATCTGTTTTCATTTAGCGCTCGCTCAACCCACATGCTAGCGTACTTTGATATACATTCAGAGTATCTTTATTCGCCAGTTGACGGATGTCTGTGCACTCATAGCTTAGTCACTTGCGTCCACCGAAACTCATCTGCTTATTGACACATACAAGTGTATTGTCGGAGTTCATGCTTTTGCTCCAAATCAATCGCCAAGTTTAGACGCAACCTCTCCGTCGATAACTGATCGCAATGTGATGGATTTGCTTCCATGGTTGGTTCGAGGCTGGTGGGCATCTTGTCACCCTTTTTCGAGTGCTGTGTCAGTAGTTAGTGCTCGCGAGAAATAGACGAACATCTTCACATGACATTTTTGCATGTCAGCTTATGGTGTCCTTTGTTGGATGAAATTCCCACGTGCCGATCAGTCACATAGTAGTGAGACATCAGGCGACGCAGTGAAAGTCAGCCGATGGCCGAAAGAACTACGCGCTTGCCTTGTACTCTGGAACTCATCGGTTCGAATTCGCGTTGGGTGCGGACAATCTCGCAAGTATTCCCATCCCATGCGCAACTGTGGGTGGTCGCGTGGCAGCGAGGCGTCTTTATGTGTCGAATTGGTACATATCTTCTTGCTTTATGCGAACGGTCTTAAACATTCGGAGTTTGCCTCGTCAAGACACTATTGGTGCTCTTGCTCATGAGTCATAACTCTTAAGCTCATTGATTCTGATGTTTTTCATCTACTCCGTTTCACTCAGCTCCTTCTCCGTCTTCTTCTCTAGTCTTCGCTTTTTGAATTCGCTCTTTATCGATGACTTCAGTCACGCGGACTAGCCCCATCGTTCACCAATATAAAGGACTGCTCATGAACAGAACTAATGTAATTTTGAATACACTACTTAGAGTCGCATCCTAGAGGTGTTCTGTATGTCAGTCATTCTCTGTCTTTCTCAACTATGATCTTTTGCACATTGTTTGATGTTAGGTCTCAATTCACTCGCCGAATGCTTTCATATCCCTTCTAGTTTCCACGTTGATATGACTCCTTATCCGATCATCTCCCGGATCGCTGCCACCCTTCAACAAATCGAGGCTTTCAAGAAGGCAGCCCCTGCCGCCCAGCCCGATGCTGTCTGATCCCAATTCCTCCGTGCTGCCAACTAACGGCTTTTTGCTTTTTCATGATCTGCATGATGGTGATTGCTCGCTTCTTTCCACATGCCACTGTTTCTCACAACTTTATATGACAAGCTTAATTTTGGATCCTATTCATCAATGATTTACGTTGATCATTTTTTGGATAAAATCCGTCAATCGATCTTATGGCTCTTCTCTTGTTTACTAGATTTCCACTCAGAATATCACTACAGCGGGGTGAACTACAGCAAGTGTTTCCCTATAATTGCCGCTCTGTGCTTAAACTCTCGCTTCCGCTGCCTACCAATCGGATGGATTTCATAGATGTTCTCCTATACTGTGTTTTTCCTCCGGTCCTGCGTTCCAAGTGCTCCCGTGTACAAATAGTACAGCGAGTCCTAATGGACTCTTAGAGCTGTAACACAAAATAAGTACCTAGTAGACGGCTGAATGCACGTATCACAGCCGCCTGGTAAGAGGCCGATGTAAGGGAGACAGCTGAAGAAACGCGGAAGAGGGAGAGTATTAAGAGAGTAAGGCTAAGAGGAAGCAGCACTCATCGACCTTTTAATGTTTTACCGTGACGCCCGCAGACCGCCTACAATACTCAGCGTACATTTCCCACTTAGTTATCTGCGCGTCAACCGGAGTGGTTTCTCTCTTAGCTAATCGATTCCACCTGGTGTTACAGCCAGGGAGTGATTGCTTTGTTCAATTCTCTGTGAGGTGAGGCTTCCCTGTGTTGGCTCGCCAACTCGATTAACAAGGTGATGAACTCCTCTAGACTGTTATCAGTTCGCGTTGTAATCTGTCTGCTTTGGAAGTAGCTGGGTACGCAGCTCTCCTCGATTCGGTCAGTCGCTAAACGTGCCGGATGTTTGTTCCATTTTTTCCACCTTGGTTTCAGGTAGCGTTGAATTCCGCATCCCGGTCTACCGCGGTGCATGTTGCATTCCAATCAACTGAAACTTATCTGTTTCTCGAATTGATTACCCGGATGTCATGGACGATGATGGGAGCACATGTGGGACCCGGATTTTGCATATTTTGCCATCTGGACAATAGAACTGTAGAATAGGATTATCGGAAGGATATATTTCACTTGGATGGACAATTTAGGATAGCTTACTTTGAGCGTCAACAGTGGTGCACATACTCGGGTTCGATGCCGAGACACTCTTTTCCTTTATAAAATAGCTTGCTTTGTAGCACTCTTTGTTCATCTGCTAATCAAAAATTGAATAAAACATTAGGAAGGAGATACCATCCCGTGATATCCGATGAATTACAAACTGGCAGCTTACTTAACCTTCATGTGAGAAAATCAACGCTTTGCACTCGACCAGAAGACACGTGAGTACGAACCAGTCAATCAGGGAATTGATGACAGAGCCCTTGAGCCCAAAATAAGTTTCAGAGCGTCAGTTAGCTGTTTCTACTAGCACATACGACGTAAAAGTTTTGGTCAGAGGTCTCGGCAATGGTAAGTACTCTAAGGTTTCATTGCGTTAGACGATCGACGAACACCGAGCCGGGTCAAGCTGATAGCCTGTCCGGGGTAGATATCTATTGACAGACGGGGCCGGCAGCTCTCGCGTTGCTGTCTGTCTCGCTGCTCGTTGAGCTACCGTCGTAATAACCAGGTTTGGAACGTGCTGTGCGTTCATTCCACTTACTCAGACAGCGATTTGTTCTACCAGAGAACCTGTGCTTGTCTACGGTTGTTTGAACACAGTCTATACTTACGTGCGCCATATTCAAGACTCCAAACGTGCTCTCTGTACTCACGTTGCATTTGTTCATAACGGGCTTTGCTCTCATTGGGTTGGTAGTTTTTCTCACCTATGCTGTGTGCACACCCTCGCAGGCAATTGACAACTGAAAAAGTGGTGCCATGATATCGCCAACTTTCTAGTCAAGCAAAAGGACACTTTGTGGTCACCGGAATGACAAAAGAGGGCAGAAAAATAGGGGCTTTTTCAGCATTTTCATATTTGTTGGGCAAGTAAGAACCAGTACTTCGTGAGGACTTTGTGACAACTCTTTGGCGCCGGACGTTTAAAATGAGTTAGTGAACATTTTGTTAAAGCAGTAGAGAAAGAGAATCCTAGATCAGGTCAAGGAAAGCAAATATTTTTACGTAGTTTTCGATGGCATTCCCGAAGCTTCTCACACGGATCAGATGAGTGAAAATGAAGTGATGGTAGAGAATTCCTTTCTTAGGTTCATTATGACTGAAAGCAAAACGGCAGAGGGAAATTCCGGACAGGTTTCGTGAGAACCGCAGAATGCAATTCCAGTTGATAACTGCCGTGCCCAGGCATTTGAGAATGCTGCTGTTATGCCTAGCTACCGATCGCGTGTGCAGAGACACATCTGCGAAATGCACCCAAAACTACATTTGTGCCAAACACAAATCATTCCCTTAATCGGGCTTGTGTACATCCAGCTTCTGCGACGATTCATTCGGTTACATCTTTGGTACGATGAACTGGCTGCTCCCATTCCTTTTTCATTTAATATCGTTGAAATATCCCGATTTACGCCGCCGGTCTAAATAGCAAGTGTCTGTAGTCCAAAAAGTACTGTGACTGTCATAGTGAAGAAATAGTCGGAACTCGCCATTTCTCTGAAGCATTTCACAAAATAAGGAGAAATTGCAATCACATCAGGTGCATCTTTAATTCTCATCACGGTATTGTCGTTTCCGATTATTTTGTTTCTGAGCCTTTGGATATCTGTCCTCATAAAATGCAAGGATGCACATGTATTTAGAAACCAAGGGACTGGATCTGCAGCTAAGCTAAAACAAACTTACAACCTTAACATTGTCTTCCTCGGAATAGAGAGAAAATGGTAGACATTGTATTGGATGAATACAGAAACACTAGGCTGAAATGGGAATAAGCATGGAGCATCGAATCCGGTACAAGAAACAAATGGGCAGTGAATAATTGTTTGATATCTCAATGGGATTTGATGCTGAGTTAAAACGGGGAATGCTGTCCGTCCTAGACAGTTTGACTGATAAATGCCATAGATCTCAGCAAATGCATGATATTGAAAGCAAATATGCTTTTCGTACACCGTCAAATCGGCTTGCTGATGACCATAGTTGTCCTCTTAGTTAAGGTGTGAAAGATATAGAATTTAGGAAGTCTTTGCTGAAAGGAGAAGGTTGCAGTGCTTTTGACATTCAGGAAACTACAACATTAATGAAACTTTTAAACTTTTGTACTTCATATAACGTCACACTTTGGGAATTTCACCGAGCATTTTCTTACGTGCACCACTAACATTGCCAGCTGTGAAAGCGCATTCCCAAAATGAACTCTTATAACGAACTATCTTCAGTAATCAATGAATCAGACTAGGCTCACGGATTGGCACTTCCTCCATAGAGAGGATGCCGAGGAATGGACTGAATTTTGATAGTTTATCAAAATATTACCTCGGTTAATGTACGAAAAATGCATCTATATACGTTAAACACTATTATTTTGATAACACAAATACCTATATTTACAGCAGCACTCTAAATGTGAATCTTTGATTTTTGTTATATGGAACGAAACAATTCACGACTGTTCGCACTTTTGAGAACTCACCGAGTTACAACTGCCAAAGGATAGGCAATTTTATGTCCGCCTCGGGCGACAAAATTTGTTATAACGCCACTGAGCTGCAGTCGTGAAAGTACGATGGGCATACACATATTATGCAAGGCACACTTCCGTCCAACTTCGGATGGCCATCTCACATCCTCTCACCGAAAAACAGTCCAGTGAATCTCAAGCAGTGAAACAAGAAGATGTATCGACCGCAGTACCCATCCACGAAAACGTCACTCGTGAAACAACATGAGCCTATTTGTTTAGGAATGCGTAGTGGGGATTTGGGTGTAATTTCATAGGTACTTCGTCGCAGTCCTCTCCCAATCAGTAGGCTCTGACTCGTGTGAAAGTCACCAGACAGCCGCTTCGACCTTCTGGGTTTCGTCAGTGGTGCACCTTCCTCGGACCTCTGTCGGGTTCCGACCTCATGACTACCGGATGAGTGCAGCTTGTGTCACTAAGCCATGGGTGACGGCCGCGGACTTACCTGACTGATAATGTACAACGATATAGCGCAGCTCATTAACCACTGCCATGCAGGCTGCGAACTGTGCAGAGGACAGTGGTTGACCCAAGCAGCTACGAGTTTCCGCATTACGATTGTGTGAGCCTACTTGTGCGAATCGCTTTGTGACAATGCTCGACATCGTTTCCCGCTCGCTTGATTAACCCGCATCAATGGAGATGTACTGTAGATTGAGCAGACGGACCAGAAACCAGCCAGACAACTAATTGGCTGATGGCCATGTATGAAACGGTGGGATATCATCGGTTCGAAAATATAGTTTTCTTATGGAAACGTGTGGATAAGATATATCGAGGTGTTTTTTGTGTCACGCATACTGTACGTTTCGCTGGGTTGCCTGTCCAATTAACGCTGGCGCCTAAAGCACTGGATTTTGCAACAATGCCTTATACTACTGGTGTAATGTAAGACAATTACCAGCATTATACTGACCTAAAACAGAATACTACCCGATATGTCCACCGTAATCCCTGTATCATAGCAGTCATTTCTCTAGGGCCCCAGAGAATATATTGTAAAATTCATTTATCCGGAAGTCTTACAGCAAGGAGCTGAATGTGAATTGCGGCAATGAATTCATCAAAGTACAATGTCTATTTCCTTAACAAGCGGAGGTTAGAGGGATGGATTAACACACACTCATTTATTCCAAAATAGTAGAGGTATTCAAGTTAGTTTAACAGCATCACAAGCCAAATACTGGCTGATATTCACATATTGACCGCATAGCCATTTGTCCCTTCAGGATGTGGTGTTAGCATATCACTCTCCACACTGGTAATTAAAGTTTCCTGACTATTGACTTGATGAATACATGTGCTTCTTTCTGACTGCCTTAGCGGAATGATTTAATTGTTATAACCACTGTTACGTGTTCACACTGTTCATGCATTCGCCTATTTTATTGAGTCGTAGTTCTGCTTTAACGGACACAATATGGGGTCCATCAGAACTGTGCATCACTTCTGTCGAGTTAAAGTCTGTCTGATTACGTGTTGGTGTGCTGCATGTCGTTTATCCTATAAACAATTTTATATACATTATGTCCATACTGCTGGTCGTCTGCTCAAATATGGAAAGCTGCTGTTCAGTGGACTGCCCGGGTCCTTTCAACGCAGTAACGGTCGAAGCAGGTAGTTTCCAGATTAAGTTGGTCACCAGTATCCACTGAGCCATTAAGGCTTAAACGTCTGTATGTAGTATTTCAAACGTAGTTCATGGTCGCTCAGTGGCTTGAGAGATCAGGAATATAGAAAAGGACGTCGCAAAAGTCCTGCCCTATCTTTTCAACTTGATCGCTTTCCAGCGTTCATAGGGACCACGTCAGTTACCCCCTAAATGGAGTTCAAATTAACCAGATTGGACCTACCAGTACTCACCGCATTTGCAGCTGCCAACCCATGAGAAACAACTAAGCTGCGTTATTACCTTTTGCATATTCTATTCAATCATGTATTTGTATACCAATAGCAATCCAGCCAAAAGCCGGGGTCGAAAACTACACAGCAACAGAAGTAGCAGGAAACAAGGCTTCGTACTCGTTTACTCTTTTAGATGATATATGATCACACACAGCTTGAGCTCTCTAATTATGTACATTTGGGGTGGTGCAAGCTGTGCTCAAGGCGTTTGTCAACAATGACAATAATTGCCACTGACAGTCTGGCACAGATGCCACAGCTTGTGATTTGGGGTGTGATATGCTGTTTCACTGACACGTGAAGGTTTCTTCTAGCTTCTCTCTACTACCGCCTTGGATCTGGAGGTGAGATCTGTTTATTGGCGTCCATGCTCAAAAGCCAGGTGATGTTGAACCGCTTTTTCGGAGGACAGGATCGATCCGCAGCATCAGAAGGAAAGGATCGCTTTCGAATACCAGTTCCATGAGATTCAATGGAGTGTGTTTGCCTATGGCCAGCCACCAATAAATCAGTTTCGATTCCTGGCGCGGTCATCTTATTCTGGAAATGGAAGATTACAGTGGGCGCAGCTTTTAAAAGACAACCAACCACAGAATAACATTTTCTCAACCCGCCAACTCTACTGAGTTACGAGCATGTGATCGATATTTTCCCGAACCCATCTTTGATATTGGTGTGATACTGGCGCTTCTCTAGTGGTCAACTCTTTTATGTGTTTACCTGTGCTATGTATATAATGGATGGTTTGAACAATGATTTATCACGGGATAAAAGCAAGTGCTTGACACGTCCCGTAGGATGGTAGCGGTGAATATGATGCAATTAAAATATGTCTGGGTCATCTATCGAACGTCTGCCGAGATGAATACTTTGATAATTAACATCAGTGTAAAATGAAAAAGAAATATCGCGCGTAAACATTCAGAAAGACACTGGGGCGCAGTGATAGTTGAGGTAAGGAGTGAGAAAATAAAATATGGTCGCTCACTTAGGTCCATTTGATACATTAGTCCTGTTGAAAACATGCTTGGCGTAATCCACAACAGGGGAGCTTAGGTAACAAAATGTTGGGAGCTGAGAGCAACATCTAATCGTTTTTTGAAAACATCCAGGGTAGGAGAGGATACTACTGAGTCTGGGAGTGCGTTCCATGGTTTGCAAACCCGAAGGGAAAAATAATTCCATCGACCCTCTAGACGGCTATATTGTTCCTTCAATTTTAAGCAGTTACCCCTGAGCTGCGTGTTGTGGCTAAGTTCCAGCAAATGGCGGCATACGTGGTTGGGGTCACTCAATATCTGATACGCTAATATGAGATCGCCGCGCAGCCTTCGATAACGTCCGCTGATAATTCCCAGCAACTTCAGCCTTCGGTGGTAAGAGTGATACCGCAGGCCCTTCACGTTCTTTGTTGCTCTCCGTTGTGGTGTTTCTATCGCTTCTAGGTCGCGTTTCAACCAAGGTTGCCAAGCTTGGATTGCGTACTCAAAATGCGGGCGCACGTAGGAATTGAGCATCATTGGGAAGATTGTAAAAGAAAACCAAAAGTGGAAGGTGTTACAGATGAGGAATAATTAGGAAATAGTGTTCTTAATGAACCAATTAGGTTGCCTAACAATGACACCCGAGGATGCGCTTTATAAAAACGATGAATTTGTTTTGAAAACTGACACCAACGTTCAAACGTAGATTTAAACAAAATGTTCGCACGCAGCTGTTGTCTTGGGCTCGGCCTCCTCTTGATCAAAACGCTGAAGGAATTCAAAGGGTGAAAGGAGTCCTGGTGACTCTCTGATGTTATGAGACCCCCTGAAGTTAGGGAGGATCGAATCTGATTCAGCGCGATCCTACTCCAGGCACTCAGCAAACGGATGAGAAACTCACGAGATCCGAGCTACTTCGATCCCCACTTCCCTGACGGTTAGGAAGTAGGTTGTCCGCAAGCAAGGCGTTGTCACATAACAGTACAACACCTGTTTATTTTGGGTCTCTCGATGAAACAACTTACATCTTCGTATAATAAAGCAGTTGGTGTTATGGCAATTACGTCTATGAGTTGCAGACCACAAAACACCACCTTTCTCTTCAAGAACTTTGTGGTCCAGTCATCGTTGGTATGCCATCATCCGTTGACGTTTATCTGTCTCTTAGTTGATGTTATTACACTCGCCAGGTGGGCGCTCAAATCTCATTGTCCCACAAACACGTGAGATCCAGTCTGTCTAAAAGGTTTCATGGTTGAGTGAATAACAATTTTGCAAAAGAAGCCTCAGCAGGCTACACAAATTTTACGATCTAAACGTGAAACTATTTGTCTGGAACAAATCTCCTTAAGCATGTACAATCGTTAGTCGTGGGTTAATTGAACATCCAGTTATTTCCAGCTTGGACCGGATAGTATCGCGCTGTAGAGGACAATAGAAAATATATATATATATATATATATATATATATATATATATATATATATATATATATATATATATATATATTATACACAATCTGTGGTACAGATATTGTGCCATCGGAATCATGGCTGAATAGGAAAACAATATGAATAATAAGAAAAGAGCAACAAGAAATGCTTTTTTTGTCAAGTGTACCACTCACAGTTTTTGAAATTTTTTTCAGTTTGTTCGTTTTTAGGGGGAGGAGGAAGGGACACCGCAACACACTGATGCACACGTCCGCCATTGACATCGATATTGAGCCATAACTTCCAAGGTTTTCAACCAGCAAGTATCCTCGTCTCTCGGACCCCAACCAGGTAGTCGACAACAACCGGCTGAGGCCAATTGTTTCGTCAACTTTTTCATGCGGCTTCTCCATGTTGTAGGCTGTCCACCAGACCGTCTCTTCCAGCCCTGTCCAGCAAGTGCAAACAACGCACGACGGAGGTAACGCTGGACAGGCATGCGCAATACGTGTCCCAACCACCGCAGTTGATGCAGTGAGATGAGCTCCTCGAGCGAGTGGCTTCCACGTCCCAAGACACGCTGTCTAACTTCCACATTGCTTACGTGGTGCTGCCACCACACACGGGCAATGGACCGCAGACAGCAGTGCTCGAAGACGGATAGCCTGCGCAAGTCATCTTTACGAATGGGCCAGGTCTCGCATCCGTACAACAGTACAGCACGAACAGTTGCACAATAGACCCGCCCTTTGATGGAGAGACAAATGTCGTGGCGACGCCACAAATGCCTCAGCCTAGAAAAAGCGAGGCGTGCTTTCGAGATGCGCATCGAAATCTCGTCTCCAACAGCCCCGCCAGCAGTGATGCAACTTCCCAAGTAGACAAAGCTCTCCACAACCTCCAGTGTCTCACCAGCAAGCGTGAGTGCAGGCAGAGGCACCTGCCAGTCTTGAAGGAGAGCCTTGCATTTGGATGGCGAAAAGCACATACCATACTTTCATGCTTCAATCGTCAAGCGGTTTAATGCAAGTTGGACGACCTGTGGATCGTCACCTAGCAAGAGGATATCATCAGCATAATCCAAATCAACAACTCGACTACCTGGGAGGAGCTCAACGCCAGCGTTCAACGAATCGCTCAGAGCGTTCTTCAGGACATCCTCAATGGCAAAGTTGAATAGGAACGGAGAGATAGGGCATCCTTGTCGAACTCCACTGGAGACCACAAAGGTAGGCGAAAGCATGCCATAAGCCCTAACCCTGCCCGAGGTCAGACTGTATAGAGCGCGCAGTATGGAGACGAACTTCTCGGGGACACCGTTCCTCAGAAGGCACTGCCACAGTACTGTACGATCGACAGAATCGAAGGCAGCACGGATATCCAGGAACACAGCAATCGTTGGCCTCTAATACACATGGCGGCGCTCGAGGATCTGGCGAAGTGTGAAGATTTGATCGATGCAGCCGCGACCAGGGCGAAACCCAGCTTGTTCTTCTCGCTGCAACGATTCGCGTGTTGGGGATAGCCTGCGAAGTATGATGGACACCAGCAGCTTGCAAACGACTGAAACTAAACTTATTCCTCTGTAGTTGGAGCAGATTGTGCGCAGGCCCTTTTGAAGATGGGTACGACTATCGATTCACCCCAAGATGATGGAACCTTCTCTTTCGACCAAATTTTCGAGAACAAAACGGTGAGTTCTCGGACCAGCGATGCGCCACCATCTTTAAATAGAGCTGGGTGAAGACCATCAGGGCCGGGAGCTTTATAACGCTTCAGGTGCCGGAGCTCCTGCTCGATTTCCTGGGAAGAGGGAGGGTCTGTTGGGGTAGACCACTCGGCCCCAGCGCGAGCGCCAGAGGTAGCAGATGGAGCTGGGGGCCAACAAAACTGCGAGCCAAAATGTTCGGCCCATCGCTCCAACCGTCGTTGAAGATTGGTGATTAAGGTGCCATCCTCTTCGCATATTGTTTCACTTATACCAGATCGAACACCTTCGGTGACTCGAAGGAGATGGAAGAGTTTCCTGGTATTACCACAGAGACTAGCAAGCTCCATCTCCCTAGCACGTTCACACCACCAAGCTTCGCGGTCCATTTGCAGACTCCTGCGCAACTCTCGACCAAGGTATTGGCGTTCTTCAACGTGTCTCGAATCCGATGGGGCAGTGACTTTATTTAGTGGCGAGTCACATCCGCCACGTCGCAGTGTTGTTAAACGGACATATGTGGCTTTTTATAGGGAGAACGCTTGCCAGGCGAAAACCCACCACGTCCTGGAACACTGCCGCCGAACCATTCGCTGGAACGGGAAAAACCCGAACCACCCAGCTGGCACCACGAGGAGGTTGTTCGGCAAGCCAGCGATTGAAATCGGTCTAGGATAGAGACAAGGAGTGTCAGCATCGTTAGTCCGCAATGAGAGATAGCACGCTACAGGAGATGGGCTATGCCTGAGGGCAGCACTACAGTGATGGAATTTCGAATTAAGTCAAGTCCTTCATGGGCACGGTTTCTCGGTAACACGAGAAACATTCATTTTTATTTTTGCCTTATGCTTCCAAGACGGGTGAGTATTCAATTGTAATCCACACGCTTTTAGCAATGTAAAGACAAATTTAACTCAGAAAGTTGGATTAATGAACAGAATGTGCAATATGTAAGTGGAAAAGAAAAATGTTGCCATTATAGCCTCCTCAATACTACAAGATTTCGTAATTAGGTGCGTAGAGATTCTGTCTCCAAAATGGATACTCTGAGCACAACCGACAAAGCACATTCTCAGCAACCGGATACTGGGAGGATTTACTCCATCACCGAGTAGATCTTTCAACAGCAATTTGCGGTTTACGCTGCCGGATGCGTTCCTGTAGTTAGACATGCAGACTCGGATGGACTTGATTCTAGTGTTCAGTGACAACAGAAGCGGATACGCGAGGCAGGCCATTGCATCTTCGGAAGACATCGAACTGCGATATACAGATCGCGGACGTCGGTCGACTGCGTCTGTGTCAGCTTCTTCCACAGAATAATATTTTCTCAACCCGCCAACTCTACAGAGTTACGAGCATGTGATCGATATTTGCCCGAACCCATCTTTGATATTGGTGTGATACTGGCGCTTCTCCAATAATCAACGCTTTTATGTGGTTACCTGTGCTATGTCTATAATGGATGGTTTCCCCGAAAGCAACTCAGTGAGCCAGTAAGCGATTATCCTAAAATTTTAATCCTAACACAATGGAACCGTCCGCAAAACTGGAGATCGGAAACATTTTTACTCTCAAGACGCTGGGGGTAAATGGATATTTTGACACGTTCTGCGAGAAAAAGTCCTAAAGCTTGTGTGAGACAACCCATCCACACAACGGATACTTTAAAATAATACTTTGTTGACTCCACAGTATTCATAATTGCGTAAAAGGCACAGTTTTATTTCGCTGCAAATATGGCATCTCTTCAGCGGTTATCAATTTCACACTGTCCCGGCAGTGAGCCAAATATACTCGGCCAATGGCGTCGGTGATCCTGGCCCAACCAATCCGCTCATTAGCTATCGCGGTACATACAAACATTAGAACAACTCTGCATTTGTCGCTCCTTATCGATTGGACCTCCGTTCGAGCACATCCAGATGCTGGAAAACAGTTCTGCTTCCGTCCAAATTGGTGTGATTACAAACCCTTTAATCGTCTACGGATGGACACTTGTTTCGAACCACAAACTTTATGAGAATCCTTTCCGTCGGAGAGTACCAGATCAGTGTCTACTTACCTGCCCAATACGTATAATAGCTGCGTTACAATTGGCTAGTCTTTTTCGACTGACCTTGGTCTAACCAACCTTTGTCGAGCGCCCAGATGGAACAAGTCCGTGGATAGTTACCCACTCATTATCCACACTTGGTCACTTCGCTCAAGCGCAGCCAAAGTCCTAGTAACAGGGACGCAAATGCGCCCGTCAGCCATCTTGGTCAGACTACTGTGGCCAGAATTAGGCGGACAGGGAGTACTCATACCCACCGCCGATCCTGAAAAGGCTGAATCCAAAGGCGTACCGGTCGATGGCCGCTTCGCCTAGTTACATATTGCTTAAAACCTTTGGATGGAGAACTTTGGTGTCATCTATGACTCCGGCTAACGTCCATGCATCTGTGAGTAGCTGTCCACGGAGCTAACACATTATTCATAAACATACATGCCGGATGAGAAATATCAAGGAGACACACTTTACGAATGAAGATGTGTTTGTAACGTATCGACGTAACACGGCCCCGAGTGGTTCCAAGCTGCCGGCTAGCTCTGTTGCACAGCACATACTACATGGAAAAACCCCTGTTAATCATAAAACTAAAATTCAATCAGCTAAACTAACCGCACTATGAGAGACAGATCCAGTACATCTGGCTAACATTCCTTAGCATAGTAACATGTTGCGCGAAACAATTTAAGTGAGCGTTTTCTAGTTTTTCTTAGTTTAAGCATGTAACCGTTCACTGCACATACTTGAGCTTAATGCACTGAGAACTCAAGTTGGCCAACTTGCAGTTCTCCCATGGGATCATGTTCAAGCAACTGACTTTCTGCAAAGCATATTCCTGATACACCAAAGATACCACTTACCAAATGGGTCAGACCAGACAGTGACCCTGCCGGGTCAGTGTTTCCGGTGGATAGCAAAGATTAGCAGTTGACAGCGTGGGTTTCGCACGAGCCGCTCACGCTCCAAGGTGTCCTACACCGCTCACCAACCGAATAGGTCTGTAAGGGCGCTATTGATAATGTTTCCGGCATTTTAAAGCCATTAGTATTCAGCGATTGTTTCCAAGATTTCCAAAACAGGGGAAAGCGGAAATAAAGGGGTGGAGGAAAACCTCCATGTACCTCTTCCAAGATTTTCCGTCTCACTGACGACGAAGTCCGCGTTGCGTGTTGCACAATTTCCCTACTAGATGAGTTACCGAGCAGTGGACGTCGGACCGTAGTCGAACACGTGTCAGTAGCTACAGCTGTGATGCTTTCCAGTGTCTTGATGAGTCGTATTTGCATCACCTGAATAGGTCAGGAAAAGCAAATACAACAGATTAGTCCTGGAGTATTAATTTCTAAGGATTCAAGGGCATACAAATGAGTCAAGGTAAAAGTACAGAAACCGTGCTGCCTGCTTCTCACCTTCCTGTGCTAAGTAGCAGTTGAATGCATCAAATGAGAGATGAATAAAAGAATGTAGCCCACGATTTCAAGGGTAGTAATGTACACGCGCGCGGTCTTGCCATCAGTTGCCATAGATGCAGCTTGTACGATTCTATTATCAATGACTCGTGTGACCGAAAACTCATCCAAAACCGCCTAAGTGTCGCACAAATTTGGAAATGTGCGAAAAAAGCTATAATGTTTCAGAGTTAGTCAGGCCCATAAGGCTATTGATGCGGTGAACGGCACCAGGATGGATGCAATCACCGTAATGTGATGGACGCCATGAAGAGCACTAAACCTTGGTCCATCCACACGCTTGATGTTAATGTGCTTAAATTGCAGGCATTAGGAAATATAATTTGCGTAAATTCGTCAAGTATGCCGTGTGCTAGTTTTCAGCTGGTATCGACTAAGAGCTTTGTTGCCGTTTGCAATAAATCTGCATGCCTGTAGCTCGGGTTGGCTGCTAGTTCTCTGAACTGGACCATTTTTTGTAGACGTTTCGTCAACATTCGGAATGGCGGTGTCAGCACTCGCCATCTAGTGGTTTACTGCAACACACTGAAAATGCCACGTCGATTGGCGGTGAAACGTTTGCGACAGAATTGTTTGGCTAAAATAACCAATCAGCTTTCTAGTCATGTATGTCATAAATTGCACGCAACTCCTGTCTTACCATGACGAGGCGAAGTGTGGTGGATCAGGTTATGTGCTTCAGGATAGATCTCTGCGGGTTGAGGGTAAATCTGGCATCCTTCCGATAGGAGTACTGAATCACACTCAGTGGACTGGTCAGAGTTCATGTGAAAGCGGGGCTGACACATGTTTCTGTCTGCAAGTGATGTCCTTGTACGAATCTGTTTCATCACATGTCGAGAGCCTCGGAACCCATCATCTGGTTGGTCTTGTAAAACTGGAAGCTGATCAGGAGTCTGGTCTGGTTTGGATGAAGGCATTGGAGTTGATCGATCGTGACACTGGACTTAATGGCGCCTGAAACACAGACATGGTAGAAACAATTTGACTTCATATATATATATATATATATATATACGTAAAAGATTATATATATAAGAAATTCTATAATATATAGAACAATAGAAAACTGTCGTTTTATTCTCGAGGAGAAGGTTAGTGGGAATGCAGATGTTAACATAAATGAGCGACTCTGCGTTCCGTCGTTGAAAGCATACTAGTTAACACGATGTCATGTTGTTACGAGACTGCTAGGATGTATTTCATATGACGTACTTTGATGCATACCTTGTGTTACTTCCGATAGTTTTGCCACATTAGCCTACCGATGCTCCCTCCAATGGTTGGCGCGTATCACGTCACCTTCTTGATAGTGTTAGGCTATAATAGTGGCTCCACCGTTAGGTGACGGCGTCACTTGTGCTGTTCTGGCAACCTTGCTACTCCATAGTGCACAGCACTTTACACACAAGGGGCAAATGTACACAAGATATGCAGATGCTCTCCCAGTGTATACACATGGATAGATCCTGGGGTTCACCCAGTCGAACTCGTCTACTGATGGGTGATGGAAGGTGAACCGCTTGCCAATTTATTACGGTTAACAAACGCACCTGCTAAACGAGTTTTCAACTTTCTTTATGTCTCTGACAAAACTTAGGTTATCTATGCTCGCTCCGTAGGTTCAAGTGAGCTGTGACTGTTCACATGCAAAGGGATATAACGATATTAAGAGCTCAGTCACAGTTTTTACATGACACGCAGCCAATGTTGAGTACTTCAATACTACACGGTCCTTTGAAGGCTGTACAAGTAATGGCCTGTGAGTAAATTCCAATAACCTCTACAGTTCATTATTTATGGCTTACAGCAGTTGCTACTGCTTTTTATCAATCTGCTTCGCGGGTGGTGCCGATATTAGTCCGTCATTGTTTCAAAAGCCAAGTTTCATTGGTTGAATGTTGTTTGGTATCTGCGGTCTCATCAGTCAATCACGTTGCTCTGTGCATCACGGAATGCTACACGTTGCGTCAATCGTGTACCAGATGTTGGAACCCATACGATCGTGGCTGATTGCTCGCAGTAATGGCGATGCCTGCCTGCCTGGAAAGGTTCCCACCAGACGGTCTTTCTGAATCCCCAAACTTTCAGCCCCCGTCGCTTTCAGTAGCGTGCTTCACGATCTGATGAGGAAACAGTAACAAGAAATGAAAATACACAACGCACGTCGGCAGTCGATGGTGGGCAGAAGCGGACTGATTTATGAGTGTGGCCTCTGTGGGTGACTGTTTCCTTTGGTTTCGCTTATTTGATCTGCTACAAGTTGAGATTGCCCCTAACGGACAACGATCGCCTTGCAAGTACAGTCTGTTATCGTATACAAGCCGATGATTGTTGGACACTTTTTCATTTCTCTAATGGGTGGTCGGTTTATGAAAAAGTTATGCGCAATACGAAAATGGCACGCGCAAAATCCACCCAGGAATTCACTGAACACCTCTGCCCCTATTTGCCCACAACACCAGCCGCTAGTGACGGACAGTATTCTAGACGGGGATTTGAAATGCCACATTTTTCGTACCGTGTCCAAGAAGCAATTCAAGCAGCATGCTTATAACCATACGCATTATTTTTGCGATGATAATTTTCGGTATTTTGCTCCTTCGACTTTCAAGACAGATGATAGTACCAGAAATTTACGGGAATATAGAGAATTAAACAACATCGTAGTTATTAACTGGAAAAATCATGGCTGAAAAGCATTTACCGGTGGATTTTTGGAAGTCGACCTTGGACAAATTCGGTATTGCCAAGCCATACCGTTTGTCTATCTATGGACGGGCTTAGATTGGGTAATATACGTCACTTATCAGGTTTGTTTCTCTTCCGATTGACCACTAGGCTGTAGGCAGCCTCATTTTCATCCAGCCTGTGTGAGTTGGGAAGGACTGCGGTCACCTTGCGCAGCTGCGCATCGTCCGTGAACTCAAGTACTAGACACTTATTTGTGCTATCCGCACAACTTTCCATATCGAATCAATTCACTGGTACCTCCAATCCGCTCAGGGTGAATCAGAAAAGCATTTTGCTGGAGGCTTCAGATGGCTTTCAATAGAGTGTGGTCAACGTTATGCACTCAATAGCAGCTGACACTGACTTCAACCCATGGTGTTTTTGGAAATGGCATCATTTGTCCTCCGGTGGGAGACCACCCGAGCTCGCATGACCTTGCTTTGGTAATTATTATTACTCGCATGTATGTGGTCAAAGAGAATGCATGAAATTACTGTGCCCTCCGCGATACGGCACTTCGGATGTACTTATTTGGTGTCAGCAATGGAACTTTTTGTTTCTAGTTTCATTCGCGCGTGATGAAGTTTGTCCAACAAACTGTTTTGCCGTGCAACAATGAACGAACGGATGGTCAGACCATCTTCCATCTTGCAGCTTTTAAGGGTCATCAATGGGTCGATTCATTTGCGATTCCAGCTAAACCATAAGTACGCAAGGTGGAAAGCTCGAGTCAATTCGCGAGGCGTTTCAGTGCAGTCAATGTTATAATATGCGCAATAGGAAAGATCACGCAAGGTGGCCTATTAGTTTACTTATCTAGATAGTTCAGTCAACACTGGCGGTCACATCACCGAAGAGCTTATCGCACGCATTTGTGAATCTACCGTGGCACTTCAATCCTCTGCTACTTATGGGAACTGCGACATGTAAGTAATGCGCTTCACTGAGGTCATCGTCAGTCTATGGTTCTGTAGCATCCGCAAGCACGCACGCACGCACGCACGCGCAGACGGGACGTGCAAGCTTGCCCGATACAAGGTCACTTAACCTTATCGACTCATGTGAGACTTGAAAAGACACACAACATAATCATCACGTGCACCACAGCCGACGAACGTCAACGGGGCTGACTACACGCTATACGATTGAACAGCGCCTTGTGCCCTACCGTGATACATTGTTAAATTGTGGCAATCTATTGTCACTTTTGACAATCTATTTTCCTACCTAACCTCGGAGTTTTCACTATTATTTGTTGGGTCGTTAATCACGTAATAATACGTAACCGAATTTTCCTATAAAACCCCAACAAAATTTGGTGACCCCGACGTGACTTAAAGTGGCCTCCGAAGACAGCTATTTGGTGTCCTCTGTATCACATCAACCAATGCACAGAATTGACACTGTTTCAGTCAACCTCCCGCCGTTTTGGCATCATGATCCAGCAATCTGGTTCTGTCAGGTCGAGGCACAATGCCATCTCCGGAATATCACACAACAGTCAACCATGTTTTATCATGTGCTTTCTCTGCTTTTATCTGAAGTTGCTACGGATGTTTGTGATGTGTTACAAGCCCCAGATCAAGTCACCCCTTTCAACACTTTGCGCGACACTATCATCAAACGGACAACGATATCAGAATATAAGCGTCTGGAACAACTCCTCAAGGGTGCCGATCTTGGTGAATGTACATCATCACAGTTACTTCGTCGAATGTACAACACTTTGGGAGAACGTCAGCTTGATTCCGCTCTTTTCATCCAACTGTTTTTGAAGCGCCTCCCTTCACATGTATAAACAATCCTAGCACCGTCGATTGATACCGTCCCCATCGACAAACTGGCGACTATGGCTGATCGAATTTTAGAAGTTCAACCAAATTCAACTTCGTTGTCTTCGATCAACGCAGCGACGGAAACACCGTCCATTGCCGACCAGATTAAGCTGCTTTCCGAACAAATCGCTGAACTTAGAGCTTCACACTCTCGCCACTTTCGATGTTTTGCACGTCGACGATCAAACAGCAGAACTTACTGATCGAATTCTAACAACAGACAGTCTGACAACTACTGCTTGTATCACAACAAATTTGGGCATAGAGCAAGAAAATGTGTTTCCCTTGTTTGTTCAGAAACTCCAAAAACTATGCTCCGCAGATGCCGGAAAACCGCCAGGCCGAGTGTTAAGGGCGAGTAACACTCGTGGCTATCAAACGCAACCTCGCCGTCTTTCTGTTGTGGATCGTACTTCTGGACTAAAATTTTTGATTGACACTGGAGCAAACGTTAGTGTTATTCCCCCGCAACCCACCGACACTCTCCCTCCTGGGAATTTCTATGAACTTACTACTGCAAACGGTACGAAAATACGTACGTTTGGACAACGTTTGCTGACACCTAATTTGGGATTACGACGTGAGTACCCTTGGATTTTTCTTATTGCGGATGTTCTCCAGCCTATTTTAGGTGCGGATTTCCTTACACATTTTAATTTATTAGTTGAATTGAAAAACCGTAGCCTCCAGGACGGTACTACTAAGTTATCTGTGTGCGGTGAACCTATCATTTGTTCCCAACCTGTTCCATTGTTATTGTCCACGCTTCATCCAACCTCCTATTCTTCCATACTTAGAGATTTCCCTAACCTAATTAAACCCAATTTTCACCAGACTAATCCCAAACATCCCAAACATGCTCCAACTGGGAATTATCAGACCCTCTCATAGTACTTTTGCTTCATCCTTGCATATGGTCCCTAAGTCAACGCCAAATGATTGGCGCCCCCTGTGGTGACTTTCGAGCCTTAAACAACTCCACTATCCTCGATAGATATCCCCTTCCTCATATCCACGATTCTACTGCAAACATTACCGGTTTTACAGTTTTCTCACACATTGACATTCTCAGAGCGTATCATCATATCCCTATTCATCCCGATGATGTGCACAAGACAGCTATTACCACTCCTTTTGGTTTATTTGAGTTTTTGCGTATGCCCTTTGGTTTAAGAAATGCTGCTCAGACCTTTCAGCCATTTATTGACCAAGTTCTCCACAATCTGGATTTTGTATTCTGTTATTTAGATGATATTCTCGTTGCTTCCAAAACCCATGATGAACACATTACCCATCTTCGCATACTGTTTCAACGCCTACAAGATAATGGTGTAGTACTTAACGTTCAGAAA